AGAAAAAGCGACATGTCAAATTAAAAGAAGAATTACCCTTCCCAATTGTATTATGTGATAAGAATGAGTGGACAACTTATACTGCTCATCTTACAGATTTAGGATCTTGTATAATTGATCAAAATGAAATTATTGCAATACATTCTATGGTAATCATAATTTGTAAATAGATACTTGTATATGTAATTAAAATTTGCAGTTTATTTGTATTTAATTTTATCTATTCAGGGCTTCTTTGGGAAAAGTTCGTTATCACGTGGTTTTCCTTCATTTAGTAAAGCACGATATGGAGCACCCCCAGTTGTTAAGAACAGACAGTGGATTAGAAGACAAGAATGGTTAAAACAATTTAATGAACTTAGTATGGAACCTAATAGCAAACATACAAATTTAGAAGAAAATAAACATAAACTTTCTCATTCTGTAAAACTTGATGAAAATGATGTCAAATTTTTAAGTGGCTCAAGAAAAGAAAGCGCACCAGATATAATAGAAATAGAAGAAACAAATTCTGTTTCTTTAGAAAAGAAATATAAAAAGAATCAAGAAACTGATGAAGAAGTAAAAATAGATTATGGAAGTTTGGATACCAAAAAAGGGGATATGTTGGTTATTGTGGACAAAAACATTAATAAACAATGTAATAATGCTGACAATAATGAAAAACAATGTACTGGAAATGAAGGGAAAGAACTTTATTGTTTTACAGATTTTAGTTTTAAGAGAGAGAATGTATGTTTTGTTAGTGGTAGTACAGAAGTTCAAAGTGAATTACTTATCTTGCCAGATAGTGATTCAGAAACTGAAAATTATTTAAAAGATATTAAACCAAAAATTGAATATGAAAGTTTTCCAGCTCAAGAAACTCTTTATCTTACATTTGAAGAAACATTTTTTCTTTTGTATGGTATAGGTTGTTTAAATTTAATAGATTTTGATGGTAATTTATTAGATGTTGATCATGCTTGGCATTCGTTTTGCAAAATTGATCAAAATTTTATACCCAAATATGTTACATACCATTATTTTCGGAGTAAAGGATGGGTAGTAAAACCTGGACTTAAATATGGTGGAGATTTTTGTTAGTATTATTTTCTTCTTTATTACCAATTTTATAATGTAAACAAATCTTTAACATTGTAACACATAGTTTAATATCAATTATAAATAATATGTATTAATTTTTAGTATTATATAAGCAAGGACCACCGTTTTATCATGCATCCTACATTGTAATAATAGATACTTTGGATGGTGATTCGTTAATTAGAAATCAAAATAAATGTATGCACAAATTAACATGGAATAATTTGTTAGGATTAGAAAGGTTATCAGAAACTGCTGCTAAGGTAATTTATATAAATAATTTATATTTCAACTTATTTTACTGATTTAAAATGTGTTAAATTCTATTGTGTTTTTACATAGGAAATATTATTTGCACAAGTCTTGTGGCCATCTTCAGCATTGCAGACATCCAATTTATTGAATGTGGATATTCTATCTGAATTTTCTGTAAAAGAATTATTGTGGAGAAGATGGAACCCTAAATATAATAGAGATGTAGAAGAAGACAATGATGATTCATGTTAATTTTATATTTAACATGTTGATTATGTTTGTAAATGAGTACATATAAATTTAAAAACATCAATTTTCTATATAATTAAATTCCTTGTTGCTTTATTTCTTTTAATATAACAGAACTAAGACACTGATTTAGCAAAACGAATATAGCACTAATATAAACATGTATAAATCAGTCCATAGTTTATACAAATTACCTTTACCTTACGATGAAGCCATTCTTGCTGCTTTTGATCTCTTAGGTATGCCAGTTCTTCGATATTCACTTCTTTCCTCTAAGTAATCTAATGTACATTCTTCTTTGAATTTTGGATCATTATACCATAATGCTAAGCAATCTTTTAATGCAGTGTTTTGATTTCTACATTTAAACGGCATCACAATACTAGAATCTTTGCAACATTCTGTAAAATCTACAAATTAAATACATAAATGATATTATATGTCAAATACTATAATATAATAATGGAATCAACTATTACTTTTAACTTCTTCGACACATTTTTCTTCTTTTGCTCTATCTCTCATCTTTTGTGGTATGAGAATTTCTTTTTCTACTTTACGTAAAGATTTATCATCAGGATTACCTAGAAATTATGTTTGTACAAAGTATGTTTCCTTAAAGATACCCTTGTCACATTTCCTTATATTGAAATAATTATATTTTCAAGATGTTTAAAACAACATAACTTGCAAAAATTATTATTTCATGAAATACATAACCTGATTTGATTATAAGTTAAACTAAAAGTTTCATATGTTTGCTTTTTTGTGAAATCATTGATTACAGTGATTTAAAATTTACCTAAGTTGTGCGGTCCTCCCCCGAAGGATTTATAAGATATATTTGAAGATGGAATATCTTTCATTGTTTTTACACTTTCAATACCGTTATTGAAAATGCTATGAATACTGGTCACTCCAATAGGCTGCGCTCGTGAGTGTGCAGATTTGAGAGTTGTCAGTGCATTAGTTATAAAAAAGGAATGCTTGCTTAATACTACGGATGATTAATAAATTGTAATATTTTATATCATTGACATAATTTAGTAGGTAAGTAAATAAATGTGATACTTTATGCAATTAAAAATAATGTGATTCTGTCATAATATATTATGACGAAGTTAACCTAGTTAAATATTGGTTTATGATAAACGTGAATGTACAATGTAATAATTAAAATGTTTGATATTTTGGATTCGGAATTAAGTCTTTATGCGATGATTTTATAGCTGTTCAAGAAGAACAAAATAAATAACGATGGATCGATTATTGAGATTAGGAGGTGCTATGCCAGGTCTTAGTCAAGGACCTCCACCTTCAGATGCTCCAGTTGTTGACACTGCAGAGCAGGTGTATATATCATCATTAGCTCTTTTAAAAATGCTTAAACATGGACGTGCTGGTGTACCCATGGAAGTAATGGGTTTAATGCTTGGAGAATTTGTTGACGATTATACTGTTCGAGTCATTGATGTATTTGCTATGCCTCAAACAGGAACAGTAAGAAAAAGTTTTTGTATTATATTTCCTTATATATTAAAATAATTGTTCAAATTATATTTTTTCTGGCTCAATTTATTAGTATTATTTGTATTCTCTTAGGGAGTCAGCGTAGAAGCAGTTGATCCAGTATTTCAAGCAAAAATGTTAGATATGCTTAAACAAACTGGTAGACCAGAGATGGTAGTAGGATGGTATCATTCTCATCCAGGATTTGGTTGTTGGCTTTCTGGTGTAGATATTAATACACAACAATCATTTGAAGCTCTTAGTGAAAGAGCAGTGGCTGTTGTTATTGATCCTATACAGTCAGTAAAAGGAAAAGTTGTTATTGATGCATTTAGATTAATTAATCCTAACACCATGGTAAATAAAAAATTATATGTAACTTTTATGTATTTAATATTCACTTATTAACATTATATATAAAATGCAGGTTTTAGGACAAGAACCCCGTCAGACTACATCTAATTTAGGTCATCTACAAAAACCATCTGTTCAAGCATTGATTCATGGCTTAAATCGTCATTACTATAGTATTAGCATTAACTACCGCAAGAATGAACTAGAACAAAAAATGCTATTAAACCTACATAAAAAAACATGGATGGACGGTCTTACACTTGCGGAATACTCAGAACATAGCAAACTTAATGAAAATATTGTATCTGAAATGCTTGAACTTGCCAAAAATTATAACAAGGTATATCAAAATACAATATTGAACATTTTTTAACGCTAAATTAAATTTCCATAGTAAATATATTGTTAATTTGAAATATTCATTCTCATAGGCATTAGAAGATGAAGAAAAGATGACACCTGAACAATTAGCTATAAAAAATGTTGGTAAACAAGACCCAAAGCGACATTTAGAAGAGAAAATGGACACACTTATGTCTACAAACATTGTTCAGTGTCTGGGAGCTATGCTTGATACAGTTGTGTTCAAATAACTACTTCTTAAATCATCATTTGCAATATATTATTAAAAAATATACATCTTTTTAAATTTTATTCAAAATTTATTTATAAATTTTATGATAAATATTCAGACATTACTTTATTATCTTCTGGTATAAGATATATTAAACAGGTACATGTCTGAACCAAAATAAAATTACACATGACAATGCTTCTTGTGATAAAAAATGTAAATACTGCATATTGCTGTACGGTATTAAATACATAACATAAAAAATAATGTGGGATGACAGCCTCTACACTGAACCTACAGGTATCGTCGTCACTGTCTCGTGTGATCGTATATACCTTCATTCCACTTCTGACACCACGTGTAGGAGTTAAGGAAAAGTTTGAAAGACCCAACGGGAATTGAATCCACAACTTTTAGCTAGCAATCCGGGTCTCTATGCATTACGCCACACGCCCTTTCTATTTTTCTTCGTTCTTGCTCCTATGGGTTCGGTATGAAGGCTCCGATCCCACAATAGTGTTACAAGAAATAAATCGTAATGGAATTTTTTTTAGATTTGCAAAATATCAGAATATTTCAGTAATTTGCAAATAGAGTTCATTCATTTACTATGTACATTTATTGATACTAAATATTGTATCAATAACACTTTCATTACTTGCAAAATTCATAAAATAAAACTAACAATATTTATGTTACTCTTATTTAATCTGTTAATAAAAAGTGGTATACTATTACTGAATTCTGAAACATAATCTAAATGATTACTACATATAACTGACTTGAATTATGATCTGTACAAATTTATAGAACATATAAAATATGTTCTTTTCAATACATTGAAAAAAGTGAATATTCTTTTACAAATT